TTGACCTACAGGTTCGAATACCCGGGATGTTCATTTCTATAGACAAGTATTACCCCAGTGCTATATCGTATTTACGAAGTCGTTCCTTTAATACATTGACTCTTAAGATCTGACTCCCAACCGCCCTTAGCACGAATTCCTTACTCTTTCAAAAATACATATATTATTAATTTAACATTATTTTTTTTTTATATCATTCTAACAGGCAAACAGATAGTGGATTCTTAATGTTTAACTTTTCACGGTCCAGAATATTGGAGGTGTGGGGACCACCATTATATTTAAAGACGTTTTAATGACGGATACTTGTAGTTTGGCAATTATTTATGGGAAGTATCTTTTTATTATTATTTATTTCTCCTTTATTGTTGTCTAGGCGGATGCTAAAGGGCCATCGTATAATTAAATAATGTTCACTCCCCTTTAGGTTCTGACTGTCCGATCGAGTCCCACATCCCTTTAACTGCTTTTGATTATGATGTGATTAGTAAAAGGTTAAGGCTTCAAAAGGAGAAGCATTTTTCTGGTGGGTTCCTTTGTATTAAGCTAAGAGCGACGGCTTAATACTTGGATACAGACGCTCCCTAGGATTTCCTATCCATCCTCTAAGAAGTGTTTGCCTTACACGTGAAAGTTTTCTTCGAATAGTTGGTCTCTTTTCTTTGAGGAAGCAAAGCTTAAGTCAAAAAAAAAAAAAAATTTAAAAAGACGAAAGTACAACAATTTATTGATAATTTCTATTTTCTATTTAGATCGGACCTATCAAAAACGAAAGTAAATTTTACGACTTCTCGAAACACAAATGAAGGTTTATTTATTTAAAGTTGAAAGAAAAATCTTGTTTAAATATAAAAGTCTAATAACGTGTTATTGGCGTTTATTAATAATTTCATTTAAATACTTCTTGTAATATTTGTTTGTAATAGGGAGCATTCATCAAATAACCGTTCAGAAATATAAAATGCGTGAACTTGGCCAGATATAACTGTTTCTCCTGGACACGGCGTAGCTTCGTTTAGGGGTAGATTGAACAAATCATCAATTAATTGGATTCAACAAGTCAAACGATTATTTTCATTATTGGAAATTCCAACTAGAAGGAAAAAATATGATCGAACTCATTTCCTAATTAAGCATTTTTATATTTATTTTTTTTTTTGTTTTAGATACGTGAAATATCATGGTTCAAAAAATAAAAAAATTTTTTTTTTTTTTTTTACTAATGATGCACTCGCGAAACATTTTTTCTTACTATTAAAAGAAATAACTCCTAAAAACGGATATAAAAACATTTCTAAACCATCATTCGCAAAACTTTGAGAAAAAAGGGAACCGAAATTTTCCGAAAGGAAAACTTCAGTAAGGAACGGACTGTAGATTACGCCCCAGTTAGCAAAATTTTTTAATGAAGCAAATAATGGAAAATCTCGGTGCGAAATTTTCGAAATATGAGTCGACCGCTTAAATAGTTAATATACAATTTTTTTTTTTTTTTTTTTTTTTTTTTGATTTTACAAAGTTCTGTTTTGTATGGTACATGTGAAATGATTCAGGAAAAATGAATTTCTAAATTTTTTGGCGGTCACAACATAAGATCCACAGTCACCATTATTATTTTCGAGAATACGTAAAAATTTCAAATATCGAATTTCCAAATACTGGGCCATCATATGGGGGCTAAGCTATTAAAATCACCTTACGGGACCCCACTAACTAAAATTGAGATTTTTGATTCATATTATTATATGATATATGAACTTTATTTAGTTAAAT